CCTCTTCCGTACCCCTGTCAAAAGCAGCTGGAGGGGCAGGAGTGCCTTCCACCTGCCTCCCTGAGAAACACAGGGTGGCCGCACAGCATGCCATGGAGGGCCTGGGAGCCATGGAGCCACTACTAGCATCCATCTGACTTTCTGGTCTGCTCATCTGTGCACAGTTGCTCCATCTCAGAGTTGCTGGGAAGTCAACACTAAGACTTAACACAGGCCCTGGGACGGTGACTATTCCCCAAACATATCAGCCTTCAGAGACTGCTCCCAGCATGCTTCACAAAGGGACAGTTGTCTGAGGAATTCCTTCCTGCCTAAGTGGGAAGGGATCCATTACCAGGCAACTCAACATTTCAACTCTGGAGAGGGGCTGGTATAAGGGCTTCTGCATGCAGTGTAGGGCACATGGAAGGACTTCAGGATGGCCTTAGGGAGGAGACAGGGCTTCGCAGCCACATCTTTTCGGCTGCCTCCACCGATCCAAAAGGCATATGGCCATCTGCCTTAGGTGCTGAGGCCTCCAAGTTAAGACATATGAAACATGTACTCAGGAAGCCCTAAAACCCTGGTCAAACACAGGAATTCTATTTCCTCATGGCTTTAGTTTTCAAACAGACCTCTTAAGCAAAGCCTCTTGCACTATCTATGTTGAAGGGTGGGATAAATTGTCTAGATCAATCTTAGTGTCCTCTTACACACACACACACACACACACACACACACAAATCTTCCCACCTAAGTTCTTCAAACTGTTGCTTCTCATGCTTTTCTCCAAGGTCCCTTTGGAGGAACTCCCTACACATTGAAAAGCAGCCTAGCTGGGCTGCTTTGGGGAAATTTCCCCAAGTATTGATTTAGTTAGACCCAGAATAAGTAAGCCTGATGAACTAGGCCAGGAACAGCATAAAACCAATCCTGCTCACTCACCCAGCTGCTCCAGATCTTTTGGCACGGCTCACAGAAATCTAAGGAAGGAATGCCTGGTCAAGGGCAGCCGACATGTGTGTGGTTCATCTGCCAGGGCTTCTCATTTCTAGAGAGCATTTATCCCTGAAGTCCCGTGGTACAGAACACAGAGAGCAGGAGGTAGGAAACCACAACTATGGCTTCAGCTCTACTGAAGAGTTAGGTGGCCTCTCAGGTCTCCCGAACCCCTCCTCAGACTCTGGGTCAAAGGAGGACTGATTAGCAGAGTGGCACCAGGCTCCTCTTGACAACTCAGTCTTGACATCTGTAGAGATAACCCTTAACATTCCTGTCTCAGCCTTCCATGAGGTGCGTTTGGAGCTGGAGCCACTGACCAGGTGGGGTGCTGCAGTTGCGTCATCACAGGCAAACACAAATCCTCTCGGGTCTTGTTAATGTTGTCAGCATCTTCCAAGCATGTTGCTGTCCCACCTTCTTCATCCAAGTGGCTTCTTGGACAGAGAAGAAGTCAGGAAGCAATTTTCTGAAGTCCTGGATGCGGGGTTAATAACATGTGCCTCACTCGTCTGCTAAGGAAGTAACACTTGGAAGGAAAAAGCAACAAGTTCTACTAAAAGGGTGGGGAGACTGAGTCACGGTCTTCCATAGGTCAAGTGCTTGAGATCAGCATCACAGAGTCAGGGCCTTGTTGACTTGTCCTGGGGAACTACATTCCACCATTTCACACATGAGTTATTCTGCATGTAAATATTGGTCCAGACAAAGCCTGGACTCAAATGTTTCTGGCATCAGAATGAGGCATTACAACACATCCAGGTAAATATCCAATATTTGGCCTTCTGGCTGCTAATGGCCCAAGTCCCAATCCTCCAGGGACAAAAACACCACATTCAACACCTGAGCATTAAACCTTTGCCAGTTGTGTGGGAGGAGGGCAAAGAACAAGGCGTCCTGCGATGTAGGTGAAGAGCTGCTGCAAGCCAGTAAAGGACACTAATAGAGACACAGGAGGGAGGCGGGGTATCAGGGACTGGTACCTAGTAAGCCAGAAGAAGTGGGATAAGGGCTGACACTTAGCTGAATCTGCAGGCATCATCTGTGTAGTGGCGTGCAACAAAAACAGCTATGCTCTCTGAAAACAGAAGTAGATTTGGTGAAACAGGAAGAATAGGGCTAGCTGCAAAGACCTCCTGACACAGAGGGCTGGACACAACATCTGCTGAAGCAGTTGTAGTGTCTGACAGGAACACAGCACCCTGTTTTAAGGAGGGTCAGAGTTAAGGAATGTTTTAGAAACTGTGCCGTGCAAATGGGAAAAGGCAAGAAAGCAAGAGACAAAGGCCCGGTTTGGTGAAGATGTTAGGAGTTACAAATTTCCTAACAGAAGGGAGGCCTTCTAAAACACAAGGTAAGAGGAAGAGGTACGGATGGGGGGGGGGGGGGTGCTGCAGAATGGACCAAAGGAATTAGAAAGTGTCCAACCTATAGCCCAGAGACTACATGCATCCCAGAATAGCTGTCAGTGAGGTCCAGCGCACTTGCAGTTGACAATTGCAGGTCACAGGTCAAAAGGTTGGGCACTCTGGAACAGACCGTTTTATACCCTTTAAATATCTATGAGCCACATCACTTTTTTTTCACATCATTTTTTGAGAGCTACTACATAGGATGTACAGCTCTTTGGGGTCTCTTACCGAAATGGTCATGGAGCCATGGCCAGCAGATAAAACCAGGTGCTGGTGAAGCCAGATTATTTTAAACACTGTGAGGCTAGCCATACAGAGCTCACTGGTGGGCCGCTTGCCTGGCGTGCTTGAAGCTGCAGACGCCATCCTCATTCAAACGTAACAAGTAAGCAAAGACATTACTCATGGGAAGAATCAGCCCCCTGGGTTTGAGGTCCACAACAATGGTCAGCCTAAGTGAGCCAGGCACTTTGGAGACGGGATTTTTTCGGCCTTCAGTGCGGCTGCACCCTCTCCCCTTCTATGGTCCCCCACACCTTCCTAAGGCCCCCATCCCCTCCCACACCACCAGGACTTCCATGGGTCGTGGTGCCGCTAAAGTGGACAGCAGTGACTGGCTCTCCAACATGTCTCCTAAGACCTGACATTCACCGCCGAAGACCACAGAAATAAAAGCAAGGAGCATAACTGACAAATTGGTTTTTTTTTTTAACACTTTTAAATATACCTTTATTTCTCAAACTCAAAGCTTTATTTCATCAAGTTCTAATACATTTGCACTGATAAGAAATCTCATCTGCATCAAATAAGAAGGTGAGTGACCAGTACCAAAGAGGAACTCTGTACCTCTAGACACTGCTAGGGAATACTTCAGGCCTATGCCAATACAGAAATGAGGGCTCCAAATTTAGTCCAATGGGCATTTTACATTTCATCCATATTAATTTGGAAATAAATAGATGCTTCAGGGAAAATCAAGTTTTCACGAATAGGCACACATACGAAGGCCAGGTGGCTGGATTCTCTTTTGTAAAGACCACAGATGGTGTTAATTAGCCCCTTCCTCTTTAGCAGATGCTCAGCTCACCTTCCTATGCAAACACACATGAGAATTTGCACCAAATCTCAATAGCCAGGCAAAACTCCAGAACTCAGAAATCTTTAAGCTTATACTTAAAGTTTTGTTTTTTTTTTTTTTTTTTTAGTGATAGGTTAACAAAATGTAGGCACTTAAATTAAAAAAAAAAAAAAAAAAACATAAAACAAAACAAAAGTAGTAAATTTCTGTTTCGGAGAGCTCCACAATACTCCTGAGAGGTGGCCAGGACGCCTTAAGTGCCTCTCCTCTACCCTCTGGATTCAACTGGGTAAATCAGTCTGCATTCCAAAATCAGCTGTCAAATTCTGTCTCAGATTAGTGATGTAAATCCAACTTTGAAAATTAGAAAATCCTTCAGTTTCTAGAATCACCTCCGAGGGTCGTCCCCAGTGCAAAGCCCCGTTAGACACTCAGGAAGTCATGCCAAGGGGGCGACAGGGCTGCCTGCCTCCTGCTTAGATAACTTTACTTTAATCCAGCCTGTAGAAGATAGCATTTGAGCTAAAACTAGCAGCGTCCTGAAACAGTGCCCCCAGGGTACAAGAAAGATCACGAGAAGGGAGGTGCTCCCAAAGTCGGTTTTGAGTTGAGCCCTTTCCCAAAACTGGAGCCATACTGAATAAAATCGGAGCCCACCACGAAAAAAGGGCTCAGCTGAGTATGAGCAGAATGTGGGCATCGGCAAG